TGAAAGCTGATTTCAAAATAGCTTAGCTAGTTTCTATTTGTTGTTTGTTTCATGACACGGAGTGGGCACAGGCTTCTTTAGGCTCACCTTGGTCGCATCCAAGCATTTCTTGATCAGCAGCCAGTTGTCGGTGGCTTGAGAGTGGCAGATCTCGACAACATTGCCTCCTTTATCTCTTCTGCTCATGTGGCTCTCTGTATTCTCTTCCTGATACGGGTTGAGAAATTAATGTGGACGAGGCAAAATGACGTTAGTGGGTGAAAGAACAGAATACTTGACAGTCCCAACAGTCTATGCGTAAATATTCTCTCAGTGATGAATCTGGATAGACTGTGTTTTCTACCTGAAAACCTAGAACTGGCTGGGTAGTCAATTTCTTTCAAATACTGGATATGGGCTTCTAAGCTTGTCATGCAATGATTTCTGGCACTTTGATTCAACAGTCCTCAACTTTCAAATTGTTGGATCATCTGGAGGCTCCTACGGGACAGCACCGAGTGCACATGAACACATGAAGCTACTTTTCCCAGTTAAGGGGGAAGTGGAAAGAATGCGAGCAGTTATCGCCCAGAACAGAACGCTGCCCCTAACAAGCCCCAGTCTACAAAATTCATCACAGAGACTTTCAATGACTACAGTGTACAGCTATTGGAGACACAACTTAGTGGCTTCAAGGATTTCCAATAGATGCTATTTCTCACTGCAGCCAAGATGTTTGGACATGGCCTAACCTTGTTCATGATGATGACTGACCGCAGCCTGTTCAGGAAGAGCAGCAGGGATGGCTGGATGTCCTCAAACTTGTTGACCAGGCTGGTGGTCCGCTGGACATCACCCTTCAATGGTAAGGTGATCTTGGTGGTCCAGCTGTTGAATTATTCATGAGATCAAGACGCATGATGAATAACGGTCAAGCACTCCTGATTGCTACCATAAGCCAGTTGCCAGTTAAATCTGAATAAAATCTGGTACACTGTGTTATCTGATTGCACAGAAATGTAACAATTTGAATTCCTCAGACTAAAGACACTGTTGCTACACCTCATGATTTGGGGCAAGCTTTTGCATAGCGACCACCATCTCTGGAATGGACTGGCTCCTTTGTGCCATTCTTATCCATCGAGAACAGTGTATTGTTGCAAGGCATCTCTAATGTAACTAAGCAAAAGCTCACCCCGAACCACGAGGAATAGCAACAGTGGTTTTAGTATGGAAAACTCAAGTTGTTATGTTCATGTGAGTTTAAAGAACTCTGTGTACCAGGTTTTACTCAAATTTAACTTTTAAATGGCTTATTGATATGCGGTTGCATGTTTATACGTGTAATATCAGCCTGCAAAAGTCAAAGTATACCTTTGCGATGCACATGCCAACATGCTACTGTCACAGATGCTCAAGTGTCGGTGTAATGCGACTTGCTCTATGAAAATGAGTCACAAGTAACCAGAGCCACTTTTGTGTATCTTGCACTATGTAAAGCAATAGGAATCCTCAACACTTTTCACGTACGCAACCGTCCATTTTCATCTTGATATCAAATTGAGTGAAAAATCAAATCAAAGAGCCAAGTTTTCTCTTTTCAATACAATCTTCAACTTAAAAGTGGGCTCTGGCGTCTTGAGACTCATTTTTACAGAATGTGTCACATATGTTTATGTATATGTCAATAAGCTGAAGCACGGTTATCAGTTTGTGAAAATACCTTGGTATTGACACCCTTCCACCATTAACAGTTTGCAGTTGATGAGTGCTTTGCCCCTGGGAAAAAAATCTTAACAACACCTATGAACACTTGACTCTTGCGGCTGGTTGATGAAGGGAGCATTATCCATAGAGAGCATTTCAAACAAGATACTGATGAACTTTTTTCATCTTTTCAGCAACTGTGGCTCTTACGGTTTGCTGGGTTCCTGCATCTGGGTGACCTCCTGGATCTCTTCTGGCCCCACCCAAGTGGGCAAGATATACCCCATTTGGTCAGAGCTGCGATCAAAGCACACGTGGTAGCCATGGACGTGATCTCGGGCCTGTCAGTCACTCTGAACACCGACTTGAATCCGATGCCCTTGTGACCTGAATGACAGATCAAAAGTAACAATGTGGATCCCTCATCAACAGAAACAAAGTTTTTTTATCAAAACATCGGAAGAATTGAAAGAACTAGAATTACCAATGTATCCTCTTTTGTGCTTTCCTTTAGTGCTTCTCCCAACATCGCAGAGGGCTCGGATATTGCTTTCTGAAAAGCCCACCTCGTTGTTCAAGACAGTGACCTCCGAGCGGTCTACCTGGAACTCCAGGGAGGGCTCCACCCCTTCCTTGTACTCATTGTCATCGGCATTCTGGATCAGTTCCAAGACAAAGTGGGTGTCCTTGCTGTACAGCTCCTCCGAGAGGTGGGCCAGGCTGCGACCGATGCGTTCCTGCTGTCGCTTCATCAGGCCGCGGGTGCGGTCGTCCAGTTCCACCCCCATCCCAAACTCCTCCCGCCGGATGCTGCGTACCACCGCCAGGCAGTCCAGCACCGAGCGCTGGAACAGCGTAAGGTCAATCTCGCATTCCTGTTCTTGTTCAATGTCGGTCTCGTCGCCTATTTCCACCTTTGGGGGTGGGGCTTCAGAACCCAACCCCTCATCCTGAGCGGAGATTTCTTCAGAGTCAGCTGGGGAGTCAGCAGCATTATCAACTGTTTCAAACAGCAAGGAAATCATCCAATTTATAAACTGATCACAAATCAAAATTTAAAGACATAACTTAGTTTGTATTGTACTAACACGCACATAAATGTACACAATACTGAAGTTCTTCTACCAGCAGCTTCTTTACAACCATACATATGGCCCTAAAAGTCAGCAGTGGCTGATGTATGCAAGCAAGGTACCATATCAAAGTACCATATCAAGGTACCATATCAAGGTGCCATATCAAGGTACCATATCAAGGTACCATATCAAAGTACCATATCAAGGTGCCATATCAAGGTGCCATATCAAGGTGCCATATCAAGGTGCCATATCAAGGTGCCATATCAAGGTGCCATATCAAGGTACCATATCAAGGTACCATATCAAGGTACCATATCAAGGTGCCATATCAAGGTGCCATATCAAGGTACCATATCAAGGTGCCATATCAAGGTGCCATATCAAGGTGCCATATCAAGGTGCCATATCAAGGTACCATATCAAGGTACCATATCAAGGTACCACATCAAGGTACCATATCAAGGTACCATATCTTCTCATTGTACTCAGAGGATATGTCTCCAGCTTATACAACATTCTAAAATATTCACAGCACCGAGGAGGTAGAATGGAAAGCATTCATTTATGCCTTCATGATTCCCTTCTTCAAAGCAACAATTATCCGAGTATCATGAACATTCTTACTTCCTCTCAAATCCTCCTGATTGTCCACTTTGGCATCACGATCTTCATCACTTGCTCCACTCATGTCACTGTGTTTCTGATTGTCCATTTTGGCATCACGCTCTTCATCACTTGCTCCACTCATGTCACTGTGTTCCTCCTTATCTTTTTGTTGCTCGTCCGTTTCCTCTTCTTCATCGAGGACTTCACTGGCATCTTCGTCGGACTCATCTCTGTCCCCTGATGTCTGAGAACGCTCCTCAAGAGATTCTGCATCGTGAAGTGGTGGCAGGCCAGCAGAACTGACTTCTGCAGCAGACCTTTCCTTTACCTGTTGATAATTTGAGGCATTTATGATCATCGCCAAAGTACTTTCGGATTGCAGGCTGGATCCCTTTTAGCAATTATAAACTCCCGAGTGCAATTTCAGCTGTCGAAGAGGATTAGGATCATTTTGTTGTTTCAACAGCATCTCTAAAAAATGACACCAATATTCAAGCAAACTGGTTGTTCATAAAACAGATAGGACTCAAGGGTTACCTCAGTAGTTTGGAGAGCTCTCTCCATCCCAAGCAAACTGCCAAAGTCATACTCTTCCTGATTGTCTACAAGGTCTGTGTCGTCCTCCTCCTTATCCAGGTTCCGGGGCACCCTTTTATCCATGAAGCTGTCCTTCCATTGGCTGATGCCCAGCAGGAACCCCAGACGCTGGATTTTTGTCCTCTGTGCCGTGTTGAGGCAGGCGCTGAGAATCGACTGCCTTGATTTGACCTCCGACCCCATGACCGTAGTAAGAGGATTTAAGATTACCTGCAGTACATGGGCAAATATGAAAGCAAAAGTTCATCGCTATACAGTTGTCAACAAAAATGGATGTTGGAACAGTGAAAAACTATTCACTGTAGAACAAATGTCCAACACACTGTATGCAACTTAAAATTGATGCATCTTTTAAAACCTCAGACACATCGCATTGGTAACACTAGGGGTTAATAGTTTGCCATCTATTTTCCATGCAGCATCAGGGTCTATTTGAAGATGAAGATTGTAAAAGTACAAACCTGTCGAACTACTGCCTGGCCAACCAGTAGAGGAACAGCCACCAAACAGTCCAGGACAAAGCCAATTATGTGATCAGAATCCACAGCCAGTACGTTCAGGGCCGTCTCCATGTGGTTGCTAAGCAATGCCAAGGGCACGCTGGCCAGGCCATCCTTGACCACCAGAGAAACAAGATGGCCGACTGCATCCACGCTGTCACTGCATTTTGCGGCAGTGGCAAACAGGTCAGGTGATGTCTCTGTGGCCAATCGCAACAGAACTCCTGGCCTGACCTCCAAGGCACTGATTTCAATTGGTGGAGACAAACTTTGACCTACGTTTACAACAGAATGAATTTTTATTCCATTACAAGCAACACAGATAAACTGAAACTGTGAAGAATTTCTGCTGCCCCTTCCAAAAATTCGACCAAACTTTGATTTCATCAAAAGGTTGCTTGTTATGTTAAATTCTTATTCATATGGTTTTCATACCAGGATTCTTTTCCAGAAATGCTTTCAGATTTCCATGCTCTGGCTCAAACACCATCGACCAATGAGACCACTCAGCCAGGTCCTCCAGCAGAGGGGCAGATGCCAGACAACCAATGGCGCTCTCCAAACTCTGCGAGCCATACAATCCAACCTCCTTCTGCTTACTCTCGTTACGCCTTTGTGAAGAAAGTGACAAGAAAATCTAATACGCTATAATTTGGACAATACCTTAGAGAAGATGCAAAAATAAAGAGAAAGAACTTCATACATTACTCAACAAGGCATGGGGATAAACAGAAAATCAATTAAAATGTGCTTAGGAGACAAAGAATCTGGGTAATCTGTCTTGTTCAGTGACATAAAGCTCCTTAATGCAGGGGAATAACTGAAATCAACATTTAGAAAATATATGAATTAGGACAGAGAATGATCAATACCCAATTAAAAACTTGGTGTCTTCTATTGTAAATCTTTTTGTGCCTAGTTGTACACGTTTTGAATCAAACTGTGATGGTCTTCACTATCTCACTGTTCATAAATCCACTGCAACGATCATTCCCTCGACATACTAAGAAAACAACGGTTACCAATGCCACACCTGTTTGATGCACATAGCGCAGTCTCATAGATGACAGCGTTGCGTTCCTGCTGATGGCCTAGTCTGGCGGCCATCTTGATAATTTGTTGACTGAGGCGATTGATGGGCCCGTGTCCCAGCTCCTCCACAGTGTTGACCTGGTAGTGAGTGCACAGGCAGATGTCCAGGGTGTCCTGTGATTCCTAGAACAAGTTAGTGAGTTCAAGAATGAACAGAAGAGCACTTTAAGGTGCTTCAGGAAACACTAGCCTGACCTAATTGGTAATTATTTACACATTGTTCCCACTGGAAACAGCTAGGAGAAATACAATTACCACCAACTTTGCGGAGCTACTATATTTGTTAAGCAAAACAGTTACATCCATCATGTCATGTTATATATTGATTGTGACTGATTTCAAGCGGAATTTTACTTAAGACATAAACTTGGTAAGTGGTATTACAGAGTTTAATAAGGAAATATTTGCCCACATTTGGCAAATAATTACAAAGAAGCATGTATATTTTTTTGTCACAAGGCCATAGCCAGCCTCATGAGTGGCATGATTCAAAGAGTCCCAGTGTAACTCATACCAGAGGGAAAAGTTTCGCTGCCATGGGCAAAGTGTTTATTTTGATAATTATTATGAGAAATGGGTTTGCGGGTATACCATGGAATCAATCTCTTTTGGACAAGGTGTGGGTCTTAAAAGAACCCGTCAGTATAAACTCAACGTTTCGGCCAGTGTGCTCTGGCTGTCCTCAAGAGAGTGTGCCGGACTGGAGTGGATAGCTGGTTATAAAGGTAATCCAGAAGCGGTGGAGCGTGGAACAAGACTCGTGGGTTATATGACTCAACATATGCAGTGTTGAGTGAAGGTGTTGGATCCTGGAATTGGCGGGAAACCTTGGGTTCGGGTATAGGGGACCCATATGCCAAGGGGGGGTGCAGGTGGCTTCGGGTAGAGAAGACACTAACGCCTGGGTGTAGGGCATGGGTTTCGGGTATAGGGGACCCTACTGCCCTGGAATGGGTGTCTGCCTTGGTGCTAGTAGGAGGCGCCAGATGTCGCTGAGCTTGAAACTGATGTCTTGGGGTACGATGTTGTGCTGGAAAATCTCGATGGCTTCTTGGATTCTTCTTGGGAGCCAGTTCTGGATGGGGCGATGAGTTTTGCTTTGTCCCATTTGATACGGTGGTCCGTGGAGTGTGCGTGTTTGATGATCGATAATTATTATTGCAATGCAGTCCAAATGCCCCTGCTACCACAAGCAAAGGGTACATTTGGCCCATGGCTTTGGCAAAGAGGCCTAGTAGTATTTATTATTTGGTGTTTTGATAGCTGTGTGGGTTTTCTAACACTTTGTGGACGATTATTTTACTTGATGGAAATGGTGCTGATGGTTGGCCACAATTTACCTGCCACTAGCAGGCAAAATGCAATTGTGAAAGTTCAGTGTAGTAACATTTATTTCTACACTATGGAGCCATCACACTAAAAGCCGAAACTTGCGGTGAATGTGCCCAACAATATGACATCATACTTTTACAGAAACATGCAAGGATGCTCTTTATGCCCATTGCAAATTGTTAAGACAACTTTTCCAGGGTCTTTTTATTTTCTAATCACATACCTTGCACGGATCACACTGTCGGATGAATTCCACCAGATCCATGCGCGACGGCCTGTAGATGGAACCCTGGCTGGGACTGCTAGACGCCAGGCCCATCAGGGTACCGCCTACACTCTCCAATACCTAAACAATGCCAGAAACATGTATCAAATGGTAATCGGCACAAAACATGGTACTCAGGGAGACGGACAACATGACGTAGATAGTCCACATAGTTGAGTAAATTCCAACTTTACTGATCGTCTGCGTCCATTTTTGTATTACATGTAGATGCAAAAATGCACATTCATATGATTGTGTATTGTCAGGGGCTAGTCGGTGAAGATCCCTGTGTCTTTTTACATCTATATGAAAACTAGATTTCTACCAATGTTTGCATTTTTTGCTCAGATCATGAAATAAAAATGTTGAACTGTATGCCCAGCAACAAAAACGCATTAGCGCTTTGATTTTTAATTCAAAATTTTTGATTAATGAAACTAGCCAATTTTGCAAAACTGGAACCATTTTGTCAGCAGCAAAGGACAGTGTGGTGAATCATAGGCATGGCTTGAAGGTTTGAACATGAAATTCAATTACTTAAACAGCAAAGAGGTGAAAAAGGGAAAGAAAACTTATGTACCCCTGGATGATCGAGCGAGATGAACTGGAGAAAGGTCCGCTTTGTCCGGCTGAGGGACACAAAGTCTTGGAAGGCAAAGTGCTGACAAAGTTTGGCTTCGATGCGGGCCAGGTCTTTCAAGTTTAGGCTGCCATGCTGAATGCGGTCCAAGTAACACAACAATTCTTCGCGTATTTGATCTGCAAGGTAGTAAAAAGGGAGGTTTTAAGTCATTTCAAAGTTGTTAGCCATTTCCTGCACTTTTGGTTAGCCAAAAATGTTAACTTTGCCTAATGCATGCAAGTAGACATGTTAATGAAATACTGTAACCGAAATGGACTTACAGAAATTCTGCAGTAATAGTTATGCATTTGTTGCAACACTTTGAACAGCAATCTTGGGTGCTACATCCTTCTCTTGGATGTCACCCCCATTTAAAAAGCTATTTATTGTTATATCATAAATTTTTGCAAATCTATCCTCATATTTTACTAATTTCAAGCACCAGTATGAATGGAAAACAAAGTAAGGTCATTAATTTTAAATGACCGTGACAAATGTTGGACTGAAGTAAAACTTCATAATGAAAGTCTTTACATAAATGCAAGTTTCCAAATGATCAGGCATGGGACAGCCAAGCTCTTGGCTGTGAGATGGCCTGGAAAAAGCCTTGGTTTTCTAGGGCTGAAGGTGGCAGTTGAAACAGACCCTCTGTGGCTTTGCTTGATCCTCTTCCCTGGAAGAACCTTGTTTACCAAAAATTTCCAAGATTTTTCAGAAATTGCAAATAAGCACTGGACAATTTTCAAAACAAGAGGAAGGCCCAGCCAAGCTACCATTACTTAATTCAGAGCTTGGTGCTCTTGAATGCTAAAGTGAAGAGAACACGCCATTTGCTCCTTTGATTGATGTGACTCATTTGAGAGAATTCATCAATTCAAGGTTTCTAATTTTTATTGGTTTATCATACCTTCAGTTGGTTGTGATTTAACTGGGCTTTTCTCATTCTCTGGACCACTTTCTTTGTCTTCTTCTTCATCCCCGTAGTCTAGAATCCCCTCTGGAAGGTCATCGGGCTGACTCAGGTCACCACTACAAATGGCTAACTGGAACAAGGACCGACTCAGCTTGTCAGTCACAACATTCTTCAGTGTCAACCAGAACTGCCGTAGTTGCCTGCTGTAGACTGTCAGCTCACAGCCATTCTCGAACACCATATTCACTGCCTCTGCAGCAGTCACGCTGACGTAGCGGCGACGGAGCTCCAGCTGGGGGAACTGGTGTCCTGCAATGTCCGCCGGTGACATCACGGCTTTGTGTATCTTCTCCATGGTGGCAGTCACTTCATCAGCCAGAGAAGACTTCAAGTCTTCACGAGCCTTGTCCATGATTGTTCTCTGTTCACGTTTGGCAGTCTTGAGAGCCTGTTTTTTGAAACAATTATACTTATTCCATTTAAATCTGTATGTAACGTGTCTGCACCTGTTGGTTACTCCAATTTCAAAGTTACATACATGAAAGAGTGAGACATTTAGAAAAAAGATTGTAAAAATAAAATTATCTGCATAATTAAAATTGTGAAATCACTATTTCACCACAATTGATAATTCTCTGAGATTGAGTGAAAGTAAAGAGACATTGTAGCGCATCCCTCTAAATTTGCAGATAAAAATATCAATACTGTTACGTGTATGCATGGGTAGATGTGTCGTGAAAAAGGAAATTGTCAGGAAATGAAACAGTTGTACTTACTGAGATACCAAGAGCAACACTCTGGATTCGCAAGCCCAAATCATATGGTCCTTCCACATTATATTCTTCTGTGAGATACTCCATGAAGTTTTCCAGCTTTACCTTGCTCCTCCAAAGATCTTTAGCTTCTAGGTATTTGTTCAGGACTTCTAGAACATGCAAAGTGGTAATTTTGGGAATATCAGTGTCATCTTTGGTTGGCGGGAACGTAAAAAACTTGTAGACCAAGGGTTGCTTGGACAAGGGGCCTAGGTGGAGGTCTGCGTAGTCACGCTTATCTGTGGAATCCCTCGGGGCATCTACCATGGCCAAAGACTCCCTGAGCTCATGGAGGGTACAAATGGCCCGGACTTTGACGAAAGCCTGGATGAAGGCATTGACTTTAGACTGGAGTCTGATCAGTTGGTTCAGGGACTGGAGTTGGCTCTCATGTTGGAGTCCCAGCTCCTGCAGACTCGTGGCCTGGAAGTGCTGCTTAAGAAGGTCCACCACGCGATCCACTGTGACCAGCTGATCAGCCTCAGCTATGTTGCCAATGAGGGTCTGAGCTGCTGCATCGAGGTCACCCCGTTTTGGTATCTGTTTCCTCAAGCTGCTGCTCTGTCGTTTCTGTGATGGCAAGGGATGCAGGCACACCTGCTGCTGCCTGGGTGTCTTACCCATGGATGGTTGGATCTGTTGCTGCTTCCGCTGCTGTTGCTGAGTTGATGCCAGAAGCTTCTGTGGTTGAGTTTGTGCAGATGGGATTGCATCAGACTGCTTGGTGCTTGTTTTCAACCGGTGGGGCTGCCCCTGCAGTTGATCCAGCACATAGGGCTGTTGCAGTGACAACTGAGCTTGTTGCTGCTTGGGGGTAATACTTGGTTTGGGCTTTTGGCTTTGTGGCTGGAACTGTTCACTCAAATCCACAGTGCCAAACCTAAGCTCTGGCTGCTGACTTAGGACTGCTCCTTTTGTGCTAGCCTTTTCAAAGTCTTCTGTAGGCTGACTTCTTGATTCTCTTGTCATCCGTTCTTGTTGCATATGACAAGCTTCAGTCTCCTCAGCCTGTGGTTTCTGTGGTTGTGTTTGAGCCTGCTTTGGTTGACCAGGAAGTGCCGGGAAGTTAGAGGGATAATCTCCAAAGATCCCCTGTCCACCCACAGTAAGAGCCATTGGAGGGACTGGCAATGTGGGTACAGCTGGTGGGGTACCTAACAAACTTAACTCGCTTATGCTGTCAACTGCGGTGACCCTTCCAATCCCTGCTGACGATGGCAAATAGGAGGCCCCTGGGGCAGCTCCAAGCTGACCCAAACCTGTGTTACTGAACACCATGGAAGGTAATTGCGGACTGGAAGAACGGGCATTTCTTCCAACTGCAATTCTACCTGCCTTGCATAAGCCTGGTTTCAGGCGAAGGAACTGATGGCCAACTGTGGTACACTTACTGAAGAATTCAAAGTCATCTTTATATGCATCTGTTATCACCTTCCTTTTGGGTGGGTCTTTGTGATATTCTTGTGTGTATTTCTTGCTCAATGAATTCAGCATAATACCTTCTGGGTGTTTTTTAAGCAATGCTTTTAGCTCGTCTCGCAAAATGTCTATGTTGCTTTGTCCATCAGCTCCTTGGTCTTGATGAGCACTAACACCCTCTGGTTTACTGCAGATGTACTGATGCTTGGGGTCATCACAGCAACTGACCACTTCAAGAATGTCGCTGAAAGCATCAGCGATCAACTCAGGCTTAGCGATACCGCAATCGGTGAGGTTCAGGCTCGTCTTGAACCTCTGCAGGTAGGCCTCTGTCAATACGTGGAGCCCGACGAGCCCTCCTGGTGAACTCTGCAGCAACTCCACCAACTCTCTTCCCAAGACTGTCCGGGGCCCTCCAACAGACAATTTGGAAACCTGATTATCAGCAAGTTTGGCATCTCTATCCAGCCTTGAAGTGCCACAGGCAACATCAGTTTGAAAACTCAGGGAAGAGTTGAGCCCAGCTCCAACTGAGGGACTTCGAAGGTCTTGTGATGAGACCACTTTTTTTTTTACCAGTGCATCTTTGCCAGCTTTCTCCTCCTTCTTTACTTTGGAAGGGTTTGGGGTCTTTTTCAACCTCAAGAGCTGGCTTTTTCCTGCAGGGATGATATCCACAACATCTGGGAACAAAGCCACAAGCTTTTTGACGGACGATATACCATATTTCTTGAGTGACAGGTCCTTTTGAAATTGCTTACAGTAGAGTGCCTGTAGATTCCCAAGATCTATGTGAGGTTGGTTTGCTTGCAGGAGCACAACAAGTTCATCTCGAAGGGCTTCAATCTGTTCATTAGACTCTGAAGCCATCCTTCATATCTTCAGACTTCCTTCCTGTAACAAAAGAAATTTGCTCTGAGACATTGTTTATTTGGGTTTTGGCCCCCAAATCATTTCTTTTAGTTGATGTGTCATTTTACACAGGTAGCTAGACACAGGGTACCTCCCACAAAAAAGCCATATATGGTGTTGCAATCCCTAAAAACTATTCTGCCAATTGTATACTTATTAATGTACTATAACATGGGCCAGTCACCAGACGTCTTGTACAACACATGTATTTCTTTCCATCATGCTGAGAGAAAAATCTTGGCTACGCTACTATTCATGCACAACTCCACAATTTAATGGCAATAAACTGTTGGGGAACGTTAGGAAACCGACTTTAAAAATTATAGACAGACTAGGATTTTGGGGCAGAGGGGAAGGAAAGGGGGTATTTTCCCCCTATTTTAAAAGGACTGTTTTCCCCATCAGTGCCCTCTTTCCCCTTGTCTGAGTGTTCATCAGTGTTCAACTGAGCCCATGGGTCTGAAATGTCTGAAATACAGGTGTGCCTATCATCATGATTATGAGCGTGCAAATTGACGTGACCATATGTGCTAGCCAATAAGAGTCAACTTTAGAAACAGTGACATCATTTTCGAGCAGAAATCTGCTAAAGGTTGTTTCAGCCGATTTAAGCAGCCCCAAGGAAAGGGAGTCCGAGAGTGTTTCTGACCTTGGAAATGTGCTTTTCTGTAATTTGGGAGGGCAAATAAACAGAAGCACAGATCTAGAGCACACTCACAGACAAACCAACTTCAGCATTCAGAAGCTGTTACATTCTGTATGGTCCAGCGCACGTACAGGGCCGGGATCTACATCTGCACGCAACAATTGTGTGTCATGTTTTCCTTTACGCCATTGAGTGCCACCAAAGCCTGTTATATGTATTGGTAGCAACGGTACTGATTGGTCAAAATCAAGAGATCAAAGGAGCGTTCTCTTCCATAATTCGAATCAGTGGGTATATACAGATACGCTTATCAGCCAGAGTGTCTTCATTTCCTCTGCAAGTGCCCTTTTTTTCACAAGTGCGTATTTACAGCGCTCTTTTGTAATGTCGCACCAAGCACGAACATGGCCTGATGAC